TCCTTCCTTCCTTCCTTCCTTCCTTCCTTCCTTCCTTCCTTCCTTCTTTTCTTCCTTCCAAAAATTTCCACAAACTGTACTGTAAAAAAAAAAAACTGTGGAATTGTCATAAGAACTTTTGCTCTTTTTTTTTTTTTTTGAAGGAAAAAGTGTCCTTTGGCATTTCCCTGAAAAATACATCTCTGTTGTCCAGGAAAATGAACTGTAAATGCAGTCTGATTAATCATAATCGGAGGCATAAAGCAGGATCAGATCAGCAGAAGAAATAACTAAAAGATTTTCTCTAAAGACCGTGGAGTGTCTGGGATTGACTCCCACTACCAGATTACCCTCTTCCGGGCTTGCTGTGCTGAATTTGTTCTGCATCATTGGGTGCAAAAATGTTCTTAGCCTTTTGATATTTTTCTGGAACTTACCAGGATATTAAAACGCTGGGTGTTCAGGATAGTCAGATAATCAGCCATTTTGAATTTTAGCAACAAGTTTTTGAAGAATACTTGGAGGGATGAGATGGGTTGAATTAGGAAATGGAGGCAGATATCCAAAAGTGTGAAATAATGACAGTTGTGTGTTTAGGTGAAAATAGAAGTGATACAGGTAGTCCTTGAGTTATGTTCCTTTGTGACTTATGACCGATTTTTACACTTATGACCATTGCAGCATTCTCACAGTCGCATGATCGAAATTCGGATGCTTGGCAACTGGTTCATACTTACGACCGTTGCTGTGTCCCTGGGTCATGTGATCCCTGCAGTAAAGTCAGGTGAAATCTGAAGAGCCCCACGCAAAGCTCAAAGCAATTCTTCCATTTCCCCAAGGTTGTTTTGAGAACGCTGAGGTGCTAGGCAGATAACAGGGCACCCTCAGGGCACGTTGGCCTTGAAGTCAGGCTGGAACCGGCTGGGAGAGAGTCTGCTCGGTCTCGGAAGACAGTCCCCCTCCCTAATTCCCCAGCGGTTACAGCAAAAGCGAAAGCGTGCGAAGGAAATCAGCAAACATGCCTCCACACACACCCTCCCTTTCCACAGAATGGCAGGACATGCTGGTGGACCTGACACTGGGTCCTTCTTTGATGGACCTCAGAAGGACGGAAGGCTAAGTTAACCTTGAGTCGAACTGCTGGCAGTGGGGAGAGTTGGCCTGCAATACTGCATTCTAGCCACTGCGCCACCACGGCTCTACTAACTAATTGCACACACTCTTTAAGTCTCATTGGGTTACATTTTTTCACCCAGGAGACTCCGAGCATGCCCAGTCTGGTCGAACGGGAGAAACCACAGGTGTTATGGCTGACAACCAGGCAGTCCTCGACTTATGATGACAATAGACTCCAACATTTCCATTGGTAGACAAGACGGTTGTTAAATGAGCTTTGCTCCATTTTACGACCTTGTTAAGTTATAACCCAGTTGTTAAGTGAATCCAGCTTCCCCCATTGACTTTGCTTGTCAGAAGGTCGCAAAAGGTGGATCTGGTGATCTCGGGACGCTGCGACCGTCATAAATACGAGCCAGTTGCCAAGCGCCTGAACTTTGATCACGTGGCCACGGGGATGCTGCAGTGGCCGTAAGTGGGGAAAATGGCCGCAAGCCACTTTTTTTTCACTGACTAAGCCGGTGTTTGTAAACCGAGGACTGTCTGTGTCTTGAAAACGCTTCTTCTAACCCCCATAATTCCGTTTCCGTGTTGTTGTTGTTTTGGCTTGGTCACAGGCACAACCGGCAAGGCCTCGGCGTCGCCCCCTCCTGCCCCCGTGGAGGTGAGGCAGATGAACGAAAAAGTGGAGACCATCCTGTTTCAGCTTCGCCAAGTGACCCGCGAGCGGGATGACCTGCGCAAACGCCTCGCCCTCTCCTCCCCGGGGTCAACCTTTGATGATTGCAGGTGAGAGGAGAAAAGGGGAGAACGTCACCCAGGACAAGTTGACTGTGGCAAGTTGCTGAGGTGAATTGTCATAGATCCTCTCGCTGACAGGGCAAGCCACTAGAACATAAACTGAGAGCAAACCCCACTCCCTTCTGGCACTGATGGTGTTACCTAGTTGGGTCATGAAACGTCTGCAAGAAAACAACCAAGCTCAGGGACCCCCTCATCTCAGCCCTGAGCTACAAATATTCTCTCTGATTGGTTGTGGCCTAGAGCTGAACATTTAAAAAAAAAAATTTTTTTTTTTCTGGTAGGCCTAACCCCAAACCAAACCACGATTATGAAAGACTGAAGATACAGTGTATGAAGGCAATGTCAGATCTACAGTCACTACAGAACCAACACACCAAGACGCTAATCAGATGTGAAGAAGCTGCCAAGGAAGCTGATTTCTACCAGTGAGTAAATGTACACACCAAGTAACCCTTTTTTCTTTGCATTGAATAGATTCTCTTAGAGTTGGATATTCGGAGGTTTTTAATACTAACTTTCTTATACTCAGTCTGGATCATAATTTAGTCCGGAGAGTTGTGTTTGTTTGTCGTCGTCGTCTTCTTCTTCCTCTTCCTCTTCCTCTTCCTCTTC